GAATATTTGATGTACACAATATTTTTCTTCACTCTTTGGTTATCAGATTTAGTAGTTTTTGTTGACTAATAATTGGAAGTAACTTTTCCATCACGTACCCATCTAAGATGGGACAATGTATTTAAACTACCAGAGGAAGCTGTTAAAATAGTTTATATATATTTAACTCTCCAACTAAAAATGTACTTCACAGTTCATATTTTTTTGAGATTTGCTATTTGTGTGCTGCAGTCTGTGAATGCAACTAGAATAGAGATAATGTACTTATATTTGGAATGTTTCAGGAGGCTTACTGCATTTTAAAATGCAATTTGTCAGTCAATTCATTTTTCTTTCACCTTTTTCTGTCAGCTGTGATTTCAGTTTACAGTACAGATGAGTTTTAGAACATATTTGCTGATTTGCACTTTGTAGTTTCACAAAATTATTGTTCATATGTGTCTGAATGCATTTTTAGTTGATGTCAGAGATCTTCCAGGGTCAGCTGCTCAGCAAATGTATTTGCGGGACTCGGGCTCTTCTCTTGGTTAGATACACTCCAAAAATCTGGGTATGGAAAAGTTATTTAAGAGATGCAGAGAAATGAAGTGTATCTACGTACACGTTCTCTTGGCCTTTCTCCTGAAGACTTGCTCAACCTAAGGCACATGTGGGTGTCCAGCAAGCAGCATTGGCTCCTGGAGGCCTTGTTCCCTTCCTGCTCCCTCCAGATAGCAAATCTAGGGCATACTGGTTTTTGCCTTTGAAAAGGCAGCTGTCCTGTGTTTTTATTGTCCTGACAACAATCCAGCTTTGTTTCTCAGTGATTTTTCTGGAGGGGAAGTAGGAGTGGGAATCACTTGTCTTGGGGCCCATCTCTTGGAAAAGTCCTGGGGCTCAACCAATGTTCCCTTCATCCATCCCAGGCTGGAACTGTGATCCAACACTGTGTTCACTTGACACGGTTGTGTGCTGAAACGGGACTTGCTCATCACTCTTTGAGATATCTCATGTCTCAAAGGCAGAAGCTTTTTTGTTTTTGTGTACTTTATTCATCTATTTGTTTATTATGTATTTATCCAATTCATGCACTTAGTTCTTCATGGGGCATGAGCTGTGCTTGCTGCTCGGTGTCTCCCAGACAGCAGTTGCATCCATTTTTGCTGTGCTGCAGCTCAAGTGCTGGTGTATTAAATAGTCTTACGTTGTCTGCTAAGGTAGTTTAATGCCTAAAATTTTATTTAGTTTGTGCAGAGCCGGTTCCATCCATTTAGAGAACATGGCCTTTCCCTTACAGAAGTGGCGTGTGTCTCTGCCTGTGAGGAGCACTGGGTCTAGAACAGGAAGGAAATCAAGGGGAGCCCTGTTCTTGTACTGTGCACACTTGGCTAAATAGGAGATTGCGCTTAAAACTTTGTCCTGGCTCTTGCAAAGTATTATTGTAGTTTGTTGAACAGTTATAATAATACGTATTCTACTAATAAGGAACAGATGTTAGTTGTATCAGGTGTGGGAGGGCGATTAGACAGGGTTTAGCAGTAAGAGCTGCATGCATTTTGCTGGTAAAGGTGATTTGTGGGACTTTGTTTTGTTTGAGGCAAGTGCTTTATCTGACTGTTAATTTCAATCTATGCTCAATAGCAATTTATTACAGTATTTTTCTGTTCTACCTTTTACCAGATTCAAGCAAAAAAACTGGTAGCACAACAACCTTTTTGATATGCGTGTTTTCCGCAACGTAGAGTTATGTATTGCTGTAATTTAAATTCAGTTTTTATGACATTCTTTTGAGTAATAGTCTCACATAGGTCAGGTATGAGCTTTGGTTTCTGATCTACTGTGTGAAAACAAAAATTTTCACAGCTCTTGGTAAAGATGATGTGAGGCTCAGGTTTTTAGGAAGAGCTCTGACTATATCATCTAAGATTTGTATCCTATTGAAGGTTACATTATAGCAGAAGACTTAATTTCTTCTGAATTATTATGTATTACTGCAGAGGAAAGCTGTGTGGTTAAAGCAGTGACAGTGGAACTTGTACTTTGATTTAACTTTCAGTTTTTCTGTGAAGTCTTTTAGCCCCGCTTTGCCTGCTCCCCAGCTTCTAGCTGGGATTCCTCTTTGCGGTGCAGGTGTCGCGCAGCTTTAGCCTCTGCGCAAATGGGCCGTGGTTTACGTGCGCGAGGGGGCCTGCCGGGGCATTTTGCTGCTGCTTCCTGCGTAGAGCATATCAAGATACTAATGAGTGTTTGCAAAACCTTCTTGTATATAAGCCTCCAGTATTTCATCCTTAAATGACACTTCTCATTAGAAAACAAGCTGTCATTGTAAGATTCCTTAAAACAGCTAGATTTAGTATCTAAGTTGGTATTAAACTCTCTGCACTTGTTCATTCCCACCCCGCAGCCCCCTGTTCTAAGGAGTTAACTCAGTATTGGCAGATTTCAGTGTTTTTTGTCTCTCCCTGTCATAAACACCCTGTTGTGCTGATCGTTTCATCAGAAATGCTGTTTGGTCATCTGCTTGGTGCAGCTCTAATTTTTGTGATGGTTGTTGAAGACTAAAATCCAAAATGAGCAGCTGTGAGATCACAGCCAAAATCAAGAACTGCTTAGAATTTCCCTAGTTTATTTGCAGGATTTACAGCCTTCTGCATTTAGTTCTTCTGAGTGAAATATTTGCACAGGTAGGGGAGGTAGCAAGTTATGTAGTTGCACAGGTAGGAGGTGTTGCACTATAAAAGTGGTATTAAAAATATTATTAAAAATAACATATGTTGGTATAGTTTATTTGTTAAGTAATCTTAAAGTGACCATAATACAATATGAACATCTATATCTCCCTCCACATGGAGATAGATAGATTTTAAGCTGGTGGTATAATGGATACTGAAATAATTGCAGCTGCTCTTAAATCAGAATCAAATTCAAAGAATTTTTACTTGCATTTTCCCTTCCCTTATATTAGGTGGGATTGAAGAAGCTTGCATGCTCTTGAGCAAAATAGTTCCTAAGTCTGTAAGCTAATCGCAACAGGAGTCCTCGAAGGGCAAAACATGTTTTCTCTTCAAAAAATATGGAAAGTTTTCTGTGAGTGGCACAGCACTGTTTAGATTAATCTTTTTGCCAGTTATCCCTAAAAACAGTTGGACTTAGGTTCCCACTGTTTTCTGTACCTCCTCCTAAGCCTGATTTTGTGAGTTTCTTGAATCAACTCCCCGAGCAGTTGCAATTGTTGGACTTATACAGGCGGCTAAAGTGGGGAACAGAGCTGGAGTGAATATGCTCTGTTTCGTTTAGGTTGCTGTTGGGAGAATTTCAGGTTGAGCAAGTAGCCTGCTGAAGTCAGTGCTGGCCCTCAAAGAAATGCTTGCCAAAGTGTAACTTTTGCACCGAGTGTTCCTGTATAATTAAATAAAATACCCTTTTGTCCGAGAAGGCTGGTTAGACTGTCTAATTCTGGTTTATCATTTTAGCTCATCATACCCCAAATGTGTAACGATGGTAAACTTCCACCAGTTCGCTGATTTGACTTAGCTTAAAACATGGGCTACAACCCTGTGATAGTTGAGTATAGCTTATTTAATTTTAAATAAAACTGACAACATAATGACTTTTTAAATTTTACATAGATGCATATTTTTAATGTACTTTACATTTTATATTTTAATCTTTTAGGCACCTTGATTTTCTTTGCTTGTTTTATAAGCAACATTTCAAACTTCCACATTTAAATAAAAGTAATAATAAAAAAAAGTATGTGGGGGGGGGCTAGGCTTCATTCTCTTCCTCTCATACATTTTAATGTGTGGATGGAATGAATAGAGAGGGGATTTGGAGTGTTTTTCTAATGGATTCTTGATAGTTGTCCAATTCTGCCTAAAGTAAACTAGCATTGTCAATGGCAGACGTGTAAGGGTAGCTACACACATCTTAATATTTTCCCCCTAAGAAAAGTTCATTTTAAGAAAAATCAGGATTTGTTTCTTTTGAAGAACATCAATATGGATAACTGTCTACAACCTGGTAAAA